TCTGCCCCTGTATAAAATTTTATAGCGAGAGAATTCCTAGCCCACAGTTGAGATTTTGGTCCACTTAAATTTTGGAACTGGTGTTTTTTCTTCCATTTCGTTCTATGTTATGGCACCTCACAGTCCGTTCTTCTGACTCCAGTAGCCCCACCGCCCCCCCCCTCGGGGAGAGATGCACACCACAGGCAGGCAGAACATATCTTCAAGGACTGTTTCAATGTGAATAGTTGAGGTCGCAATTAATATTCTGTAATGTGTTTGATAATACATTTGTTAGATCGCACTAACAAGACCCGTAGAGTGATTTCAGCAAGTGATTCAGCTTTATTCGAACAAGCACACAAACGCATTCAGAAATCAGAACAACTTAACATTGGAGCTGGGCTCCTTTTAAACATACCGGGCTAATATAGCCACGCCTACTATTTACATAACAACCAATCAGATTGCATAGATAAAGACGAATCAGTGTCCTTCCCGCTCAGGGAACAGCTCTTCTGTGATTGGTCGCTGTTTTGAAGCGACCAATAGATTGTTCGTACTGTCGGAGCCTTGGCCGGCTCGAAGCTTAACATGGGAAGTGTATTGAGCGATTCATGTTATGTTGTCAGTACATAACAACATTATTAAAGATTTCAGTGTTTTCAGTGTTACGGAGTTGAACTTAATATCCGTGTACGCTGCGAGGCCTGTTGAAACGGTGAAACTTTCTGTCCAAATAATTTTTCTTTTCTTCAGTGTAAACGTTTTGCTTTCAAATTTCAACCTCTCAGATCACACAAGTTAAGACGTGTGCTAAAGTAGCATTGAGTTGCCACAGTCTGAAGCTCTCTCTCAAGTATTTGGTATAGTTGCAGTTTCTCATATCTTTAAATTCCAGTATATGCTGAATAGTACAAGTTAATATAGAAAGTAACCTGTAAATGTTGCGTGTTACGGCATTAAAGAAGTAAGATAAGTAGGGTTGGAAGATACTTGGAGATTTTGGGGGTGGAGCCTGAGGAGGGTGGGGTTTGGGAAGGGGAGGGGCTTCAACGGGTATAATACCATAGAGTTCATCTTCCACAGTGGCCATTTTCTCCAGGTAAACTGATCTCTCTCAGGGGATCTCCAGCCACGACCTGGAGGTTGGCAACCCTAAAGATACGTCTAGGAAACTCTGTATTGTATATACAAATATACATATATACAAATGCGATTTTGGGTTGTATCGATAGAAGTATAGTGTCATAAGAACATAAGAGATGCCAATGTTGGACCAGGCCAAAGGCCCATCCAGTCCAACACTGTATCACACAGTGGCCAGAAATACCAGTGCCATCAGGAGGTCCACCAGTGGGGCCAGATCACACAAAGTGATACTGCTGCTTTACTCTGCTCTGGTTAGACCTCCCCTACAGTACTGTGTTCAGTTTGGGGCACCACAATTTAAGAAGGATAGAGACATGCTGGAACCTGTCCAGGGGAGGGCAAGGCAGATGGTGGTCTGGAGACCAAGTCCTGTGAGGAAAGGCTGAAGGAGCAGGGAATGTTTGGCCTGGAGGGGATATGACTGAGAGGTGATAGGATAACCATCTTCAAGTACTTGAAGGGCTGTCCAATAGATGATGGTGCGGAGTTGTTATCTGTTGCCCCCGAAGGTCGGACCAGGACCAACGGGTTGCAGTTAAATCAAAGGAATTTTCGGCTAAACATTAGGAAGAACTTCCTGACAGTCAGTGCGGTTCCTCAGTGGAACAGGCTACCTCGGGAGGTGGTGGGCTCTCCTTCTTGGGAGGTTTTCAGACAGAGGCCAGATGGCCATCTGACAGCAATGTGGATTCTGTGAACTTGGGCAGATCATAAGAGGGAGGGCAGGAAGGGTTGCCTCAGTGCTTAGTTCTTGTGGCCCCATCTTACATGCTGATATGCTCAGGGAAGTACCGATTGCTACTTTGGGGTCAGGAAGCCATTTTTCTCCAGGCCGGTTTGGCCAGGGATCCTGGAGGTTTTTGGTCATCTGGGCGTGGAACAGCGGTCACTGCGAGTTTGGTATTTGTGAATTTGTTGGTGTGGTATTTGTGAACTTCGTGCATTGTGCAGGGGGTTGGACTAGATGACCCTGGAGGTCCCTTCCAACTCTATGATTCTATATTTAAATTTCCCCCTGAATGTCTGCTTTTTTTTCTGGATGGAAAAAGCTGGGAAATTATTCCCCTCCCCCATGCTTTCAAAATTTCTGGGAAGTTTGCCTTTCTTTTGCTTCATTTGTGAAGATCTGTTGGGTAATGTTCATTGTCAAGGTAAAGATGTGTCAAAGCATGCCGAGGAACTTGAGACCATTAGAGGATGTTATTATTTTGACCAAAATTCCTTGGGTGTATTACGTGGAAAGAAATTTGCCATTTTTGCCATGGCTGAACTCTTGGTGGCAGTTCTAACTGAGACAGATTCCCTTGTGCTTAAGATTGGATTGTGTGTGGCACCTGTAGATCATTCGATTTGTGTACTAAACTACGTATATCCAGGGGTCATTTCGTAGAAAAAGAGGTTCAGGAGCTCATTAGCATACCTTATTTGCATATGCCACACCCCCTGACATCACCGGAAGTGTGTCAGAAGGCAACACCCACCGCTCAGGCTCCACTGGACTCTTTTGGATTGCTAGCTATTGGGGGGGGGGGAGGACGTGCAGATCTGTCCTCACAGAGGAGAGAGAGCTTGTACCTGAATAAAACTTGGTCTTAAAGGTGCCACTGGACTGTTTTGGGGGGGGGGGGCCTCTGCAAGTTACCTGGCTGCTTCTTGCTCTGACTGAAGGCTGCTGAGAGCAGGGGGTGGGGCTTGTTACATGTGCCCGCCCCCTGGGCTCTTTACTGCCGGAGCTGCGCTCCTGCAGGAAATGACCCCTGCGTATATCCTACCTTTCCTTTGTGGTTTTGTGCTTGGAATGGGTTTTTAATGCTGGATTTTCTTAATGTTCCTCTGCTGCTGTTTTATCATGTTTTCTTTGGTAAGCTGCCTTGGGCACGTTCCCTGGAGAGGCATCCTAGTAATTTTCTAAAATAAAGAGGCACCTTACAAATTCAAAAGTAGAACATATAAATTACATTAAAAAGCCCAATGGTGCCCTTCTCCCCGTCCCAAATGCCCGTGGCCTTCACCCCAGTAAAAGCCCTAGCGCAAGCGTCCCCCAGCCTTTTGGAGCCTGCCGGCACCTTTGGAATTCCGATACTGTGTGGTGGGTGCAGACACAAAATGGCTGCTACAGATCGGCTTTACGGAAGGCAGAGCCAACCACAAAATGGCTGACACAACTTAATCTTCAGTCACACGGTGAAGACCCTTGTGCTGTGGTGGCAGATGCTGCCAAAAGCAACGTTCTTAAAAATCTGCGCAGCCAATCAGAATCCTTGCCGGGCAAAAGCTCCATCTGGGCTCACCCACTTTCTAAAGACACTTGGCTGGTATAGCGCTGCCAGCAGTGTTCCCTCTAAGCTGAGTTAGTGTGAGCCAGTTCACCGTTTTTTAGCCTCCGGCTCACACATTTTTTTGTCTTAGCTCAGGAAGGATGGCTCCAGAGCAAACTAATTCATGCAGAAGCCAGATCGCTCGCTCACAACTTTGATGTCAACAGCTTACAATGTAGCATTTTTGCTCACAAGACTCCACAGCTTAGAGGGAGCATTGGTTGCCAGGTCCCCCTGGCTGCCAATGGGGGATGGGGGGTAGGGTTGCCACATCTGGTTTGTGAAACTCGTGGAGATTTGGGGATGGACCCTGGGAAGGACAGGGACCTCAGTGGGGGTACAATGCCGTAGAGTCCACCCTCCGAAGCACTCCTTTTCTCCAGGGGAACTGATCTCTGTAGTCTGGAGATGAGCTGTAATTCTGGGAGATTCCCCAGGGTCCCACCTGGAGGCTGGCATCCCCTGGTGGGCACTAGGAATGGTATTGATGGGTTCCATGGCACCCACGAGCACCATGTTGTCGATCCCTGCCATAATGGCCTTGCAGCACCTCCTAAAAACTTCTAGTGATAGCCCCCCCCCCCCCGGAGTCCCTAAAGGTGGAAACTATATTCAAAGGTGGGCTACTTTTAAGCAGAGAGACGGCCAGTGGATGCTTGCTGTTCCTTTTTGAAGATTTCATCGCAAAGGGCTGGATTTGACATCTCCCACTATTCACGATGTTCTGAAGTTTCTCTGCGATGTTTAGACTAGGGATGGGCACGAACCAGTTCATGAGCCGACATTTGGCATGAATTTGGCCTGGTCCGTAGCCCCCTGAACTGATGATTAGAGAAGGTACCTTCCCCTAACATTTTCTGGACTTCTGCCCAATTTGGCTGTTCGGGCCGTTTCATCCTAACAGCGGACGAGTGCACCCGCCCTGCTGTTAGGCTGAAATGGCTGGAAGTGGGGGAAGTGAAGCTGTTCACTGAAATGGCTGGCAGCCATTTAAACCTAACAGTGGGGTCTGTCCATCAGCCGTTTAACCCTTCCCGGGTTATTCCCCCCCCCCCTTTCTGAGAAAGGGGGACCCGAACTGGCCAGTTTGGTTTAGGATTTTTTTGCTTGGTTTGGAATTCGGTTTGGGATTCAGTTCGCTGGAATCAAACTGGAATTTTTGGGTTTATGTCCATCCCTAGTTTACACCAGCTGTGCCATCCTTTGTTATGTGCAGTACATTTTAAAAAAACAAGATTCTTTGCTTTTAAATAAAACTGCCTGTCTCTGGTTAGCGGCTACGGCTTAGTGCTAGTTTGGTTCAAAGGGGATTTTAGCATAAAGATAGTTTGCAACAGTACAATTTTTTTGTATGCACAATATGTCCTTTCACTATAAATGTTTGTGATGGTAACTCTTGAGTGTCACATTAGCAAACGTCTCAGGACACAAGGAGAATTCTCTGTGTGCATCTTCGCTAGTGCTCTGCAAGTTGCAATACCTTCCTGCAGCCATTTAGATCTCTGTGCGTCCAGTAAAGGCAACAAAACCTCTCTTGTCTTCTGCTTTTAGCTCACTGTTAATGAAGCGGCTGCCCAGTTGTGTGCGAAGGATAACGCCTTGTTGACCCGGCGGGACGAGCTCTTTGCACTGGCGCGGCAAATCTCTCGAGAAGTTACGTACAAGTATACTTACCGGACCACCAAGTAAGCACCACGGTTTTAGCAACCTGATTGTTTAACTGTGGAGTATTAGAAATGTCTTTCCGTTTTCGTTCCTTGGTCAGGTCTGACTTTCAGAAATCTGGTTTGCACGTAGGCCGAAAGGTCCCGAGGGATTGCAGGGAAGCAGAACTATTTCTGCTTTCTCAGTATGTCTATAATATAACCTTTGTTGTGGCTGTAAGGACATACAATTTGCACGACTGCTCTCCCCCTTTTCCTGAGTTGAAAAGATTGAGCCACTGATATGCATTTATATAAAATGTTTATTTTTAAATTTTATTTATTTATTTTGGCATTTTTACCCCGCCCTCCCCGCGAGCGGGCTCAGGGTGGCTTACAAGGGGCATAAGCCCATACATAAAACCAGATAAAACAATAAAATTATGAATAATAACAGTAACAATAACAATAATAAAGTGCTTTCTGTAAACAAGATGGTCTTTGAGTGGTTTTGATGGCATCAGTCATTTCCTTAGATCCTTCCCTTGGGGGTGATACCGTCCAGTAGATAGTCCAAGCCAATCCCACAATGTCAGTGCCATACAATTCATGGCGGAACTTCCAAGGCCGTTTCCTAATCCCGATGTTATCGCCACCATTGGTGGTGGCGGCGGCGGTGGCCCCTATGTGAAAGCCTGGCGGAAGAGCTCCGTCTTGCAGGCCCTACGGAACTGCATAAGGTCCCGCAGGGCCCTGATCTCCTCCAGGAGCTTGTTCCACCAGGTAGGGGCCGCCACTAAGATGGATCTGGCCCTGGTCGCAGCAAGCTTTGCCTCCCGGGGGCCTGGAATCACCAAGCGGTGTTGGGTCCCCGACCGAAGTGCTTTTGGAGGCAATGTTCCCTCTAAGCTGTGTGGTTTTGTGAGCAAAAATTCAACTTTGTGAACTACTGGCATTAAAGTTGTGAGCGAGTGATTTGGCTACTGCATAAATCAGTTTGCTCTGGAGCCCTCCTTCCTGAGCGGAGACAAAAATGTGTGAGCCGGAGGCTAAAAAACTGTGAGCTAGCTCACACTCACTCAGCTTAGCGGGAACACTGCTTGGAGGTATATGTGGGGAAAGGCCACCTTTGTTCCCCATGGAGCTCAGGGTGGCTTAGAACATAGGTAAAATATACAACATAAATTACACTTAAGAACATAAAACCCAGAATTTGAAATCACAACTCAGGACTGCTAGTAAATGTAACCACATGCAGTCCTAAATAAAACTATTTCCAACTGCCTCCTAAAGATCAAAAGGGAGGGGCCAGGGAGGTTGTTCCATGATCGTGGGGCTGCCACTGAAAAGGCCCTGTCTTGTGTACCCACCAAATGGGCTTCTTTCATTGGTGGGAGAGTCAGGAGGGCCTCTCGGTGTGATCTTCGCTCCTGGACAGGCGCATCAGAGCCACATGTTGTGAAGTACACGTATTGGGTGCATTCATGCTTTTGAAAGTGTGTTAAAACCAAGCGTTAAACCAGGGCTGATTTCGCACTAGAGCTGCCTCTATGTTGCGCCGCCGTTTGCCCCGATACTATTGGTCAATTTCACACCCGAAGCTGCAGGGCTGCATTTTGACTCGTGGCTTCGCCCGATTTCCCCCGCAATTTCGTGATCCTGTTTTTTGAGGATCACGAAACTGCGGAGGAAATCGAGCGAAGCCGCGGGTCAAATGCAGCCCCGCGGCTTCGGGTGTGAAATTGACCAATAGTATCGGGGCAAACGGCGGTGCAACATTGAGGCAGCTCTAGTGCGAAATCAGCCCAGGAATTTGGTTTACTGAACTTCTCCCTTGGAGGCAAGGATTTTTCAAAATATTTTTTCCTGAACTGTGGCCATAAATTGATTAAAAATGTATTTTTTTTCATCTCCTAGGTCTAAATGTGGAGAAAGGGATGAGCTGTCTCCAAAGAGAATTAAGATAGAGGTATTGTATTTTAACTTTTTTTCTGTTCAAATGCAATTGCAAAAAATGGCTGGTGTGTCATATCTGTTAACGCATCATTTAAAGAGCAGCTGACATGCGCGCGCACACACCCACCCTTAAAACATCATGCATCCAGAATGAAAACTTATTTTGAGAGTCCAACAACAGGATGATTAGAAGAGCAGGGAAAAGAAGGTTGTGGAATCAGAAGTTTGTTGGCCTCTAAATCCCGGTTCAACACAGAGGGTGTGACTGCAATAAAAAAGGCCAACGCTATGCTGGGGATTATTAGGAAGGGAACTGAAAACAAATCAGCCAGTATCATAATGTCCCTATATAAATCGATGGTGCAACCTCATTTGGAGTACTGTGTGCAATTCTGGTCACCGCACCTCAGAAAGGATATTATAGCGTTGGAAAAAGTGCAGAAAAGGGCAACTCGAATGATAAAAGGGTTGGAACACTTTCCCTATGAAGAAAGGTTAGAGCGCTTGGGGCTCTTTAGCTTGGAGAAACGACGGCTGAGGGGTGACATGATCGAGGTTTACAAGATGATGCATGAGATAGAGCAGGTAGAGAAGGAAGTCCTTTTCTCCCTTTCTCACAATACAAGAACTCGTGGGCGCTCCATGAAATTGCTGAGCAGTCAGGTTAGAATGGCTAAAAGGAAGTCCTTCTTCACCCAAAGAGTGATTAACACCTGGAATTCATTGCCACAGGAGGTGGTGGTGGCTGCAAGCACGGATCACTTCACCTGCTGGCTTGTTATCAGAACAGTTGCTTAAGCTGGCAGAAGTGATTAACTTGCAGCGGCTGAGAACTGTCATCTAAAGTGGTTGACAGCTTGCAGTTTAGAGATCTATCCTGGTAACAGCTTTCTATTGGCTAAATGGCTTTTCTTTCTGCACTGAGGACTTCAGCCCCACCAGGGAAAAAGATTGCCCCCCAAGCCACAAAATCCTGGCTATGGGTCTGCTTGTAGTGAATCAGAGCATGAGTCCCATCAAGGTCAGCATTGTCTACTCATAAGAACATCAGAGAAGCCCATGTCGGATCAGACCAATGGCCCATCTAGTCCAACACTGTGTCACACGGTGGCCAAAAATACCAGGGGCCATCAGGAGGTCCACCAGTGGGGCCAGAAGGACACTAGAAGCCCTCCCACTGTTGCCCCCCCAAGCACCAAGAATACAGAGCATCACCTGCCCCAGACTGAGAGTTCCTACCTATACCTTGTGGCTAATAGCCACTGATGGACCTCTGCTCCATATGCTTATCTGATTCCCTCGTGAAGCCGTCCATGCTTGCAGCGGCTCTCCAGGGTCTTGGCCTGAGAGGTCTTTCCCATCACCTACTACCTGGTCGTTTTTTAACTGGAGATGCCGGGGATTGAACCTGGGACCTTCTGCATGCCAAGCAGAGGCTCTTCCCCTGAGCCATGGCCCATCCCAAATAGAAATAGACCCCCGCTAGATTATTAGTTATTTTGGTCATAGCTGACAGAACATGCTACCTATCTGGGAAATAAAATTAGTGAAGTGGTTGTTATATCTGATCCCTTTGTCATTAGGAGTTGATCAAGAGTGTTGGACTGGATGGGCCTTTGGCCTGATCCAACATTGGTGTCTCTTATGTTCTCTTATGTTCTTAAGTCTGCTCCTGAAAAGTAAATGAATGCCGTGTCACTAATCATGGATTCCAATACGATTTTCTGGTCTTTCAGTGGTTTTGCTTTGAGGAATCTGTCTCATTGTTGGGTTTTATTTTTGCATGTCTTGTTAAATTAAACAGTTGCTTAGATGGAAGTCCTGTTCCTCGCGGAGCAGCATGGGACCCTAACATAAACTATTTTACTTGCTGCGTGGGTGAAACAAGCGCACTCTTTTCAGATTACCCCGAGGACTGTTGTTTCTTTGTTCAGCTCTTCCTAAGCACATGCAACAACATACAGAAAGCACATTTGGGAGAGGTCTTTCCTGTCTAATGGAACTCCGGGCCATTAGGGAACGGTGTTCCGGTATTCAGACATATTTTTTTTTGTTTTGACTTCAGAGAGGATGAGTAAAAACAGAAAGCACATGGGGAACTCTGCTATGTGGTGGTGAAAGGCACTGTCAAGGTACAGCCGACATATGGCCACCCCGTAGGGTTTTCAAGGCAAGAGATGGTTTACCGTTGCCGGCCTCTGTGTCACAACCCTGGACTAGATGGACTATTGGTCTTATCCAGCAGGGCTCTTCTTAGGAAGGCCACAGCCTCTGTGCACTGTCAGTGTTGGCTGCCAGACGAACTGGTCAGCCCCCATATGAGACAGGATGCTGGACTAGATGGACCACTGGTCTGATCCAGCAGGGCTTTTCTGATGTTCTTAGGAAGGCCTCTGCCTCTATGCCCTGTTGTCGGCCCTCCAGAGGAACTGGTTGACCCCTGTGTGAGACGGGATGCTGGACGAGATGGACCACTGGTCTCATCCAGCAGGGCTCTTCTGATGTTCTTAGGAAGGCCTCTGCCTCTATGCCCTGTTGTCGGCCCTCCAGAGGAACTGGTTGACCCCTGTGTGAGACGGGATGCTGGACGAGATGGACCACTGGTCTCATCCAGCAGGGCTCTTCTGATGTTCTTAGGAAGGCCTCTGCCTCTATGCCCTGTTGTCGGCCCTCCAGAGGAACTGGTTGACCCCTGTGTGAGACGGGATGCTGGACGAGATGGACCACTGGTCTCATCCAGCAGGGCTCTTCTGATGTTCTTAGGAAGGCCTCTGCCTCTATGCCCTGTTGTCGGCCCTCCAGAGGAACTGGTTGACCCCTGTGTGAGACGGGATGCTGGACGAGATGGACCACTGGTCTCATCCAGCAGGGCTCTTCTGATGTTCTTAGGAAGGCCTCTGCCTCTATGCCCTGTTGTCGGCCCTCCAGAGGAACTGGTTGACCCCTGTGTGAGACGGGATGCTGGACGAGATGGACCACTGGTCTCATCCAGCAGGGCTCTTCTGATGTTCTTAGGAAGGCCTCTGCCTCTATGCCCTGTTGTCGGCCCTCCAGAGGAACTGGTTGACCCCTGTGTGAGACGGGATGCTGGACGAGATGGACCACTGGTCTCATCCAGCAGGGCTCTTCTGATGTTCTTAGGAAGGCCTCTGCCTCTATGCCCTGTTGTCGGCCCTCCAGAGGAACTGGTTGACCCCTGTGTGAGACGGGATGCTGGACGAGATGGACCACTGGTCTCATCCAGCAGGGCTCTTCTGATGTTCTTAGGAAGGCCTCTGCCTCTATGCCCTGTTGTCGGCCCTCCAGAGGAACTGGTTGACCCCTGTGTGAGACGGGATGCTGGACGAGATGGACCACTGGTCTCATCCAGCAGGGCTCTTCTGATGTTCTTAGGAAGGCCTCTGCCTCTATGCCCTGTTGTCGGCCCTCCAGAGGAACTGGTTGACCCCTGTGTGAGACGGGATGCTGGACGAGATGGACCACTGGTCTCATCCAGCAGGGCTCTTCTGATGTTCTTAGGAAGGCCTCTGCCTCTATGCCCTGTTGTCGGCCCTCCAGAGGAACTGGCTGGCCCCTGTGTGAGATAGGATGCTGGACTAGATGGACCATTAGTCTGATCTAGTAGGGCTCTTCTGATGCTCTTATGACATTCAGAGGTGGTTAGCCATTGCCTGCCTCTGTGGCATGCCTCTTGTATTCCTCGGAGGTCTCCCAGACTCCTTTGGGTAGTGAAGCACAGGGTATAAAACCAACTCTTCTTCTTATGGAAGGCATCTTTTCTCCGCTTTGCAGCCAGTTGCAATTTTTAAATTAATAGTATAAAAATCCATAAAACCTTCCTCCTCTCCTGGATTTTTACTCTTGTAGCTATTAAAAAGAAGGTGTTTTTGCAGCCTGCCGGTGTAGCTGTATGCTACGCTACAATGAAACGATCGTTTATGACTGATAACATAATTTCGACTAATGCCAATCGGACATTGAAAGCGGGTGGGCAGCCTTTGTGTTGGGGGCATCCGGTATGTGAGGCAGCCAAGCAGTCCTTATTTTGCTGCGGAGATGAATTCCCTCTGCTGGCGTAGATTTCCAGTTGGGTTAGCATTTGAATACATGGTCTGTTCTGGTGGAAAATCCTCTTTCACCATGCAATTTTAATTTTCTAAGGGGGAAACATGCTTTTATGTGATCAATTAATCGTTCTTCACACCTGCCTTGAGCTGCTGGGGGGGGAGGGGATTGGTGAGCTCTAAAAATGTGTTTAAATAAAGTAAGACGTGGAAAGTTCTCAGAAGTCTGGTTAAAAACGTGTTGGGGGTGGGGAGGGGGGGTGCTTTTTGCTGGTTCTGTTGCTTTATGCTGTTACAGAAAGATTAAGGCGGAATGTAATGCTATTCAAGCGTGGTAGTTCTACTGGGATTAGTATTTTTGCACTTATACAGTTGGGTTACAAAACATCTGGAAAATAAATAAAATAAACACACAAACACGGGTCATTTCGTAGAAAAAGAGGTACAGGAGCTCATTAGCATAACTCATTAGCATAACTCATTTGCATATGCCACACACCCTGACATCACCGGAAGTGTGTCAGAAGGCAACACCCACCGCTCAGGCTCCACTGGACTGTTTTGGATTGCTAGCTATTGGGGGACGACGACGTGCAGATCTGCCCTCGCAGAGGAGGGAGAGCTTGTATCTGAATAAAACTTGGTCTTAAAGGTTCCACTGGACTGTTTTGGACCAGGGGGCTGCAACTTACCTGGCTGCTTCTTGCTCTGACTGGGGGCTGCTGGGAGCAGGGGGTAGGGCTTGTTGCATGTGCCCGCCCCCTGGGCTCTTTACTGCCGGAGCTCTGCTCCTGTGCGCTCCTGCAGGAAATGACCCCTGTGTGTGTGTGTGTGTGTGTGTATAAAAATTCAATTTATACCCCGCCCTACCCCACAAAATGTTTTGATCTTCACAAGCATGTGTTCTTTTTTAAAAAAAACCCTCAGATTTGTTTCTGGGATAAGAACA